AGCAAAAGTAAACAAATGAAATAAATAAATGTCAATGAGCCTCATAGAAATGCATCACATGTACACGTGCAAATATCAGAGCAAGCACATCTATTTAAATAAATAAGAAAAACAAAATTTTCCTCAGATAAGCCACGTATACAATTTTGAAGGATCATATAGCACGTGAAAATAATTTAGGCAGTCTTGCATATTAAATTCAAGCATGCGAATCAATTCCAAATTTCCCACACACGTGTAGAGGGAACCAAATCAACCATCAAATGGTGTAATTATCATCAATCTCTACAAATGCACCGACCAAAGAAGTTTGCCAAAAATATATATATAGCATATATATAAGGAGACTACCTAGCCATAAAGACATAGGGAGTCTAGGCTGAAAAGCAAAAGTAAACCCATACATCACTAAGATTAGACATCAAATGATTCCCACACCATTAAATGAAGCATCAGATGGCACAATGATTATCAAAATTTTCACGCGTGCAAGTAAAAGAAGTTTGTCAAAAGAAAAGTATATAGCACGTATTAAAAGGGACTATAAAACAGTAAAGACGTGGACAGCAAAATCAAAAAGTTTCTCCCGGAAGTTATTTGTCCTAACCAATACAACTTCGTCCCTGAGTAAACCAACTCAGATAACATTATTATCACCCAAGAGGTTATTCACACTATGAGGAACTTGCAAAGGAAGAAGGGTTATATGACTATTAAGATTAACTTAGAAAAAGTCTATGATTGAGTTTGATAGGATTTTGTTCTAAAATGCTTAGATGAGCTTTGCTTTCCTAATACGATAAAACAAGTGGTGATGGAATGTATTACCTCTCCTTCCATGCAGATTCTTTAGGAAGGAAATAAAGAAAATGAGTTCCCACCATCCTAATTCATAATTTAAAAAAATTTGAATATTGTTAAAATAACAAATATTTTCTCTATATGGTATGTTTTGAATAAATTTATCTTTAATTTCATACATCAAAGTAAAAATAAAATGAATGGCAAGTGACAATATAAATGATGCAATTTATTATTTAAAAAACTGAAAATCACATGAGACTGAGAGCATGTATCACAATAATGGAAAGCGAACACATGTCAGAAATAAGGTTTAAAGATGTGAATCTTAGACTGGATCCAACAAACAAAACCCCCAACATCGCATATAAGGAGGTGTTCTATAATTTGGTAGTCTAAACTATTTATTACTATTAATATATATTATCTTCCATTCTTAATATAAAATCTAATTGGTAGTTTAAATTAAACTACAAACTATATCCTAAATTAATTGCTCGAGATAGTATTACATGAAGTATATAATCATACGTGCAATCTACAGTCTCTCTGAAATATCAACTGAAGAGCAATATAAACTAATTGTTTATTTAGTAAGTTCTCAACTGGCCATCTGGCTTTGGCCGGGGGAAAAGAAACTGCCCATCGGCAACTGGACTGGTTGTATATAAACGGAAAAATAAGTTTTTTTCCCCCTCCCAACGGGGAAGGATAAGTTTTTTATCTTTGAAGATTTTGGTGAAACGTTGTCAAAGCCTTATGTAACATTTGGTAGAAAATATTGAAAATAAAAGGTAAAAATTATGATTGGAATTGAGAAAAACATTAAAAAATATTTAGTATAAATAATTTTTTGTTATATGGAATTAAACATTTTAGGTGGAATTAGAGAATACTATCTTCTATCATCATATTCTCTAATTTTACATATATAGATTTGTCCACTCATAAATAATAAACAATCACTCCAACTAACTATTCTTTTAACACATATATTTTTTTAAATTTTAATCTTAATTCTTATTTTTCATTTTGAGTGGTTCCTAACAAACGTGACTTGTATGTGTTCGGGGATTAATCACCATAGTTTCAATAAGTCATTAGCGAGGCTAACCAACAGTTTAAAGTTGTATGTGGGTCGTGGGCAGAAGAGAACATGCTTCTTATTTCAAAACAGGTTTTCCTTCTTGTGGTGTTTATTGGTTTCGAAATCATGGAAGTGAGACCACCAAGAAGCAGCTGAAGGAAGCATTTGATATTCAGATTAGCAAGAAGCAATTCTATGATACTCAGGGTCCCATTTTTCTTGTTTTGTAAATTGTTCCCCCCCCCCCTCCCCCCTCTCTTGGTTGTTGACGGAGAACCATTTTTATCCCCCAAAAGAACAAGAACTTAAGATTCCCTAAAAGGCGAAAGAAAAGTTTAATATTTTGAGTTTCTCGCCTTGGTTCCTTTTTCTCACATGCGCTGGGCCACCCATTATTGATTCCACGAAACAAAGGCATTTAACGTTGCTAGCCAAAAGTTGCCAAAACATAGGTCATAATTATATATCAGGCAAGACAAGAAAACATTACAATTAAAGCATAGTTTTAAGTCCACTGACATAGAAAAGGATGACGCAATCATGAGGAGTCTATAACCTCTGTCATTCTTGCTCCTCGTGCAAGCCAAAGAATACAAGGATGCTCTGCTTCACCCTGTTTTTATGACAGAAAAGCAGAGTTAAACAAAGTAGGGCGTACTTGATTCTTTTGAATTGAATGATTCAATTGCGGTTGGAGCTGTAAGTGAGGTCACGAGCTAAATGATGAAAAGAATGCTTTGGGCCCTTTTTTCCCCCCATTGGCAGCCATGAGATTTGCACTTCTCATCCTTTGGTACTATTTGATTTGCTAATACGCGGTTATGTAAAATTGGAAATTAATCAAATTGCTTTTGACATATGCCTTTATTTCAAGGGTTAAGGTACACCCAGCACCCCCGTGTATTTAGTCAGGTGCGCCCAGTGACCTGAAATAATTTATGGTGCAAATTTGCCCTCAAAGTAATTAAATTGGTGCACTGGTATCCCATGCTAACAGATCTGTTAGTTTGACCGTTAAATTGATGAGTCAGCACAAGTTTGACTAGAAAATCTGACGTGGCATGTCTAATAAGCAGGTGATGTGGAATTTTTTTTGGGGTTAAGGTGCATCCAGCACCCCCAAGTATTTTTCAGGTGCACCCAGTGGCCTAAAGTAATTTATGGTCCAATTTTGCCCTCAAAGTAATTAAAATGGTGCACCGGTATCCTATGCTAACAGATCTCTTACTTTGACTGTGAAATTGATGAGTCAGCACAAGTTTAACCAAAATAATTTGACCTGGCATGTCTAATAAGCAGGTGATGTGGAATTTTTTTCGTCTCCCACTGCTTTGTTTTCTCTGTTCAGTAAATGCTCTCTTTGGCTCTTGGAAATTTTTTCAGAGTAAGAAATTTTTTTAGAGATACTCCTCTAGTCCTATTTATAGGGTAGAGAGAAAACATATTTTTTGATCCTATTTATAAGGCACTGAGAGAAATTTTTTGTATGGATATACAAATTTAACTCTCATTTATTATTGTATTGACTTTGTTTATATGAGGTATGATGTATATTAAATAGGGATAAAGTTGGAAAGTTATTAAAATTTAAATGAGAGTTAATGAAATTTAGGGTTTTCCTTGGTCTGTGTGAAACATGCTGGAAGTACCTTATAAATAAGACCAGAGGAGTAATATTCGGACAAAACAATGGAATTAACAAGAAAAGCCATGTCACCTGCTTATTAGACATGCTAGGTCAGATTATTTTCGTCAAACTTGTGCTGACTTATCAATTTCACAGTCAAAGTAACAAATCTGTTAGCATGGGATATCGATGTACCATTTTAATTACTTTGAGGGCAAAATTGCACCATAAATTACTTTAGGCCACTGGGTGCACTTGGAAAAATACTTGGAGGTGCTGGATGCACCTTAACCCCGAAAAAATTCCACATCACCTGCTTATTAGACATGCCACGTCAGATTTTCTGGTCAAATTTGTGCTGACTCATCAATTTAACGGTCAAACTAACAGATCTGTTAGCATGGGATACCGGTGCACCAATTTAATTACTTTGAGGGCAAATTTGCACCACAAATTACTTCAGGCCATTGGGTGCACCTGGCTAAATACATGGGGTGCTGGGTGCACCTTAACCCTTATTTCAATCTCATGAGTTTCATTACTTTGCTTCGTGTTTTTGAGAAATCTGAAGTGTCTTCTTCGAGTCAAGAATCTCATCTTCATTATGCTTCCTTTGTTGCTTCCCATATAAATCTCAAGCCAACTCTCCACCAGCATCTTCCATACAGAGATTAAAAGAAAAATGAGAATACCCTTACTTGCTTAGTAGTAGGTGGCAATATAACTTGATTAGTATTTTTACAATTTATTTATTTTTATTTACAACCGTACTGTGTAAGGAATTTTTGTCTATCAATTTTTTGTTGTATTTAAAAATTTTGGGATTTTCCATGTCGTTTTACAATTTGAAAAGAAACAAGATTGACGGCTGGCACGCATGTGTGGACGAAGATGGTTGACGAAGTGACTGTGACATATGCTTAGGCGAGAGATGTGGCTTTGGGTTTGGTTGGGGCCTGGGGGTAGCTAGCGTTTTGTTTATGTTCTTTTGTTTTTGTGCCCCAAAATAAATATACACCTGAAGAGAGAGATATATATATATATATATTTAATTAATTTGCGTCACTAGAAGATATTTAAATCATTAAGTTGCAATTAATTGCTATATCGTTGGGTAATGCCTCTGATTGAGCCCCAATTGTGATTCAAGTTGTAAAGACAAAGCATGTGAATGCATTCCAAAACAGATTACGCTTCCCTTAACCCTGTATAACCACTGCGAATAAATGACGACAACCTCCGAACAATCATTGGGGTGGCTGTAGGAATTATTTCCATGGGAGGATATTTGGGTGAAAACAAAACTATGATTTTAAAAGTGTTTTTACGATATACAAAGTAAATATGTAGAGAAATTTGTCTTAATTTGTAAAAAAATATCTTTGAAAAAGACTATTACACTCATCCAAACACCTTCTCAATAATTAATGCGTTGGAGCTTTATGTTCATAGTAGCTATCAATAGCTTTAGACTCTCTTCATTTTCGGTTATTTCTTCCTTTCCCGTGTGGACTTTTCTTCTCTATTATCCTGGTACGCGTCTTGTTTTGCTTGGTGGACATTAATTCCCACGAAGATCTCCTGGGAAAAGGTATCTGAATTGGATAGAAGAAGATACATAGACAAGATTCTGTGGAATTTGAGTCTTATCTACCACTGTCGTCTATAGAAACACATACAAGATGAAGTTCAGAATGGACAGCAGATCGTCTGCTCCTCTGTTGTGGATTTCACTTCTTTCCTTTGCTTCTGTTCTGCTCACATGCCACTCACCTTCCTCAGACCATCCCAATGTCAGACATTCTTCTGTCAGTTTTTCCTCGGCTTTATCGAATTCCCATGATTCTCTTTCTGGTTAATAATCATGTCTTCTGATAATGCAGACTTACATAGTCTACACCGGCAACACCAAGACTGATGAGGCGTCTGCATTGTCCCAGTATACAAGCTTCCTGCACAAAGTCTCTGACAGGTACTATCAATCCACTAAAAACTTGAAATTTCTAGGTCACACCTATGACTTCAGCTATAAAGCTTAAATATTTTCTGTGGCCAGCATCTTAAAAGCTTAAACTTTTAAATGTACAAAGATAGATTAATTTCGTTATGGTTTTTCATGCTTCTCTTTCATCCCAAGGACGAGTTCAACACCTTAGTCGATGCATGGATGATTTTATTTCTATATCGGAACATAAATTACTTTCATTAAATTTGCCTGATAAGATTAAGAAGCATGATTGCGTGTTACATTAAATATGAAACTATTAAGTACGAAGTTAAGTGTCCCCTGTAATGTTACAGATTTAAAATTGAACATGAAGCTTAAATTTTCAATTTGTATCCGTACTTTCAGCGATGGTGTGCCTAAGTCAGTTCTCTATTACTACAAGCGGAGTTTCAATGGCTTTGTTGCGAAGCTAACAGAGAAAGAAGCAGAAACAATGTCGAGTGAGAAATAAGACTATTTATTTATCTTCTTTCATGACTTACTCGATCTATCTTCGATTCAGTGTTGTTCACCCAGAAAACTCACAATGCAGGACTTGATGGTGTGGTCTCTGTGTTCCCTAATCGAAAGAGACAACTCCACACAACAAGGTCATGGGATTTCATTGGCCTCCCACTGAACGTGCAGAGAGCCACGACCGAAAGTGATATCATCGTTGGAGTTCTCGACTCTGGAATCTGGCCAGAATCCGAAAGCTTCAATGACAAAGGATTAGGTCCGCCACCTAAGAAATGGAAGGGCACATGTCAATCCTCGTCTAACTTCACTTGCAACAAGTATATTCTCATGCACATGCACAATGTATTTAGTTTTACTAAACTTCAAGTACAATTGTCAGGGTGCTACTAGAGACAGATCTTATTCATATTACACAGCACACACCATTTAACAGATTTTGCTGTCGTTGCAGTAAAATCATTGGGGCAAAGTATTACAGATCTGATGGATCATTTGGTGGTGAAGAGAAGTCTCCGAGAGACAATGATGGCCATGGGACTCATATATCATCCACCGTAGCAGGGAACCCAGTGAGCCAGGCAAGCATGTTAGGGCTGGCAGCAGGAACAGCGAGAGGAGGCGCTATATCAGCACGCATTGCCGTCTACAAAGTTTGCTGGGTGGATGGTTGTTATGATGCAGACATTCTCGCAGCTTTTGATGATGCCATTGCGGATGGGGTGGATATACTATCAGTTTCTCTTGGAGGGTTGAATGATGAGAATTATTTCAGGGATGGACTAGCTATTGGAGCTTTTCATGCTATGAGAAATGGAATATTGACGGTCACTTCTGCAGGGAACTCTGGACCAAAACCAGGATCACTCGCAAATTTTTCACCTTGGTCCATTTCCGTGGCTGCCAGCACCATTGATAGGAAGTTCCTTACCAAGGTTGGACTAGGTGATAACAGGACATTTGAGGTAATTTTAATTAGCAGCCATACATCAAGTTTCAACTGGGAAAAAAAATCTAACAATTTTTCTCACGTTTAATGATATCCTTGTTTAATGTGTAGGGAATTTCAGTAAATACATTTGACCTTAAGGAACAACAGTATCCTATAATTTATGGAGGAGACGCACCAAATACTAAAGCAGGAATTGATGGACTTTCATCTAGGTGACAAAGCCTTGAATCCTTCGCGAAAAGGCCTGAGGCATAGTGATTTATTTTTGTTCATGGTAATAAAGTGCAGGTTTTGCAATGAAGGTTCATTGGATCCAAATTTGGCCAAAGGTAAAATTGTTCTGTGTGAAGGTAGAAGCAAAGCAGAAGGTGCCTTCGTGGCTAAAGCTGTTGGTGCACTTACACAAGGTCAGAATTCCAGAGACTCTGGCTGGTCTTTCCCCCTACCTGCTTCGTACATTGACTTGCAGGACGCCAATAGTATATTTGCCTACATTAATTCCACTAGGTATTAACCATTAGCTGAAGTTGCTGATATTTATTGACAATGTGATGTGAATAATACCTTTCTTTTTAACAGAATTCCTTTTCCAAACTTGCAGGAATCCAACTGCAACCATATTTAGAACCAATGAGGAAAATGATCCATTAGCCCCTATGGTGGCCTCTTTCTCTGCTAGGGGTCCTAACTATGTCTCCCCTGATATTCTCAAGGTACCTTGTTTGTGGCTGGCTAATCATCACTTTGTCACTTCAATATTTATAAAGATAGATTAGGGACTTATCTTTATTACAAATGTTCCCCTCTTTAGCCGGATTTAGTGGCTCCAGGAGTTGACATTCTTGCTGGCTGGTCTCCGAAAGGCTCTGTTTCCGAGATTGAAGGTGACAACAGAAGTTTGCAGTTCAACATAATCTCAGGAACATCCATGTCTTGCCCACATGTTTCTGGGGCTGCAGCTTACATTAAATCATTCCATCCTGAATGGTCTCCCTCCGCTATTCAATCAGCTTTGATGACCACTGGTAATAAATCTTCTATTCTTGCTTCTTTACACTATATTTGTCCACATGTTATCACAGGTGCTAAATAAGTCGTTTCAAATGGTAAACATATATCATGATGTGTGGGTGGGTGGTTGTAGCCAGGCCATTGAGTCCTAGGATTAACCGAGATGCAGAGTTTGCATATGGAGCAGGTCAAATCGATCCTGCAAAGGCAGTGAACCCTGGCTTAGTATACGATGCTAGTGAAGTTGATTTTGTGAGATTCTTATGTGGACAAGGGTACAGCATAAAGACATTACAGCTTGTCACAGGGGATAATAGCAGCTGCTCTGTATCAGCTAAAGCAAGTGATCTAAACTACCCTTCCTTTGCTCTTCCAACCCCTGCCTCCAACGTCACTGTAAGTGGCAGTTTTAAAAGAACTGTCACGTATGTCGGGTCAGAAAAGTCCACATACAAAGCCACTGTGAGTGGTCCTCCGGGACTGAAAATCCAAGCGAACCCAAGTGTTCTTTCCTTCACTTCTAGGGGTGAAAAGCAGAGCTTTGTGGTAAGTGTTGAAGGAAGCTTGGAAGCATCGATAGTGTCAGCATCTTTACTTTGGAGTGATGGTAAGATCCAAGTGAGAAGCCCTATTGTTGTGTTTCATTCACCTCAATAGATCATTATGATTTTATTACTACTATTAAACGTTGAATAAATTGATGCCGAAGTATAATCCAACGTTTTGAAGAATCGAGTAGGATCATTATGCTGTGGCGTGTACAAATGAGAGAGGGTAGAAGTCCATTCTGAATTTTCACTCATTTTGTGTGACGCCAATAGATTTCAGAGTGCAATATCACATAATGTGGGAACAACAACAACAACAATAAGAACAGTTCTGATTTTGTGTTGACATTAGATCCAACGACATTTCAGAAAATACACAATTACATTTGTAAATCAACATCAAAAAAAGAATGGAAGTCTGATCACTATAATGCCAACTTAATTCCTAGTCAAGAAGCATATACAATCTCCAGAACGCAGATAGCGCATTATTCATTTCAACACACTTTCTCCTGGGAAGGGGAATGCAAAGAGGGGGAAAAGGGGCAAAAAAAAGTAGAAATTGAGCAGTACAATAATCAATTAACTTACTGATGACACACAGAATTAGATAATTGGAAGAAGGGGCTTGCTTGTACTGAAAATGGAAGAATCGGATGACGTAGCGAACTCGACCAGAATATACCAGATTACATGTTTTCATCCTCGTTTTGCTGAAAGTTTTAATGAGATGGATCGATTTCCCATTTCCAGCGACGCTGATCCCTGTAAGTAAAATAAATGTTAAAGCATTCCGTCCAATAAATAAATAAATAAATGTTCAAGCCTTATTTATTAGCTTAATTCTCCATATGCTTCTCAAAGAGGTTTAAGTATATGTAATTAGATTTTCAGTCCCCAAAAAAAAATGTAATTGGATTTCACATCGGATCTAAAATCCAAAAGTCTTTTTTTTTAAAAAATTTTTATGTGTAAAAAATTATTTTAAAAGTCTATTGACAAAATCTAAAAATTATTAAAATGTAAGTTTGACAATTATAATAATAATTATTTTTAAAAATTAATTTGGTAGATGTACTTTAATTTTTAATTGTCGTAAGAAATACATTAAATATCAATTAAATGAGTATAATCTTCGAAAGGAACATTTAATTTCCTTCTAAATTATTGTATCGTTTTTTTTCTTCAAATTTTTTGTTCTATTATACATAGTAGGATAAATATATACGAGTATAATTTAAAGTAATACATAAAAGATATTAGTAAGTTTTACAAATATGTTCTAAAAGTAAATAAAAATATACTAAAGACTTCTAAAAATATTTTACAAATACGACGTTCTCTGCTTAAAATTTTAGTCAAGAGATAAAAGCATTTATCATTCATATGCCAACGCACAAGTCAAGCTCTAAACCAGTCTAGAGGAGGCAACGATTATCACTCACCTTGGCTTGCCACTTGGACGTACGATTTCGTGCAAAGATAAAACTATAAATATAATTTCTTCCACTTCAGTATCAAGCTTACATGTATATTGCTTTGAAAAATCAATATCATTACTGAAACGTGGGAATATGATATAGGCATAGATATAGAATTTCGAAGTGAAGGAATTAAACTTATATTTGACATGATGAAAAAAATAAAATTTTCAGAAAAATCTTCCAAGTCCTTGGAGTGAGGATTGGATTTTAGCTTGACTTTTTAAAGCCAAAAAGCTATTTGACGCTCAAAATAATGTTTGGATTTTAGCCTGACTTTGGGGGTAAATAACCTTTTGACCAAAAATCAAGTTAAAGCCAAATCTACACCTACCAAAATTATGCTATATCTCATTTATAGTTACCAATATCCAGGGGGTGTTTAGGTAGCATCAAAAGTGTTTTTAAAAAGTATTTTTTCGTAAATCGAGATAAATTCTTTTACATATTTATTTTGTATACTGTAAAAGTTTTTTTTTTTTAAATCATGGTTTTGATTTCATATCCAAACACCCACTTAATGTTTTTATTTCCAATTTCCTTATTTCTTTCTTTAATTTCTTTCTTTTTGCTATAATATAATATCCAATGTCTCCTGTGCGCCGGGAATGAAAAATAAAAACAGAAAGTATTGAGTTAACGCAATTGTCTAGAATAAGCAAAATTTTCTCAAGTTAATATTCGCCAAGAGCTGGTCAAGAACAAACCCGTTGTTGGCTTTGTATTCCGCGGTCCGCGCAATGGAGGAGGCGACGATGGTCACTCCACTTTTCTCGCCACTTGGACATAAGACTTCGTGCCGTCTTATTTCCCCCGACAAGAAGAAAGTTACAAGTCACCCTCTGATAATTAAGAATCAGAATTGACGAAAGAAGCCAACCACATTGTACGAGCAGTTAATCATCGCCACACAAGGTCCTCCGACCTTTCCACTACCTAAAACCATCAATATAATTTCCTACACTTCAGTATCAAGCTTACATGTATATTGCTTTGAAAAAATCAATATCATTACTGAAACGTGGCGCAGCAGATTTGTCGGAGCAGATTGCATGGGCAAATAATCATAGACTTGGCGGTCCATGCGTGAGAACGTTAGGATCGAAAACTTGGACTGAAATGTTACGTACGTTGGACATATCTCTGATAGTTAAGGTTCACCATGTGAATGCAATTCCAAATGACGAGGAACATTGGGTTAACCGTAGGAATCGTGTCCTTCTCAGTAATCAATAAGATGGAGCTCTCTATATTCATAGTTTCCGATGGCTTTGGTCATGTCTTCTTTTCTCGGGTAGACTTTTCTCCATGCACGTCCAAATCCTTTCACGACTTTATATCAATACGCGTTTTGGTTTCTTCATCTATACGCACATGCCACAAAGTTATATCATCGCTACTAGACGAACTTTAGAAATGGACGGCAGATCTTCTGCTGCTCCGGTGTTGATTTCACTTCTTAGCTTTGCTTCACTTTTACTGAAATGTCACTCTTCTTCCTTAGATGAACTCAAGATAAAGCATAACTAATACTCCTCTGGTCCTATTTATAGGACAGAGAGAGAAGATATTTTTTGATCTAATTTATAGGGTATTGAGAGGAATTTTTTGTATGGATATACAATTTTATTTTTTTATTTATTATTGTATTGAATTTATTTATATGTGGTATAATATATATTAAATAGAGATAAAATTGAAAAGTTATTGAATTTTAAATGAGTTAATAACATTTAAAGTTTTTCTTGGTTTGTGTAAAATATATTGGACGTGACTTATAAATAGGACTAGAAGAGTATCTTATATTATAGACCGGAGCAATTAATACTCTTTTGGTTCTATTTACAGGGAATTTTTAGCACGTTTTATGCAGATTAAGAAAAACTTTAAACTACACTAACCCTCTCTTGAAATATACTGTTCTATTTATAAGGTTCAAATTTGAAAAGAGATGTGATCTATTTTATAAGCTTCATTTTCAGACTTATCTTAATATTTAATGTTTTTTTTTATAATTTTGCCCTTAATTTTTATTCTCTCTCATTTATCATGCTTTTTCTTGTCATATTTTTTGAAGCATTCTCTTTTATCATTTTTCTCATTTATTATAAGGGCATATTTGAAAGCAAAACTATATTTCTAACATATTTGTTGCTTTTAAGTAATTTTAACTAATAGTTTGATTATTCATAAATTAGTTATTTGAAGCTTATAATAAGGACAAGAAGAAGTATAGTAATTTTTCAATTTACCCTTATTTAATATATACAACTTTAAAAAAATAACTGTTTACATTATAATAAATGAAGAACAAAATAATACATTTATATTAAAAATTAAGTAAAATGACTTATAAATAAGATGAAGAAAAACCTTCAATCTATCTAATAAACATGGCGAGGGAACTATATATTTTCAGCTCAAACATTAAATACCGTAAAATTTGGCCTAGTCATAATAAATGCTATTGGAATTTATTCCAACGATGAAAGCCAGCTACTGCATCTAAAAAACACAGCATTTACATCCAACGTTCTCTTTTAATGCGTTCACGCTCCTTCACCTCACAAAACACAACGCTTCAAATATTTCCCAGACTTTTTCGGCCAAAAAAAAAAAAAAAATTTCCCAGACTATCCTCGACATGAAATGCAAGATATTTTATCATCTGTTCCTATTAATTTACGTACTTGGACATATGTAACTGACGGTAATCTCAGCCCTACTTGGGGGCCTTCGTTCTTTAACCTGGATTGCTTTGGAACCACTAGGCACGACAGCGAAAATCACCATTTTTACTGGTGAACAAGAACGCAGATGACAAGATACGAAAATCATTGCCAAATCGTGTCCCAATCAAGTATCAATTAAGAGAGCTGTACAATGATAGCTTCACTAGCTCCATGTTATTCAGCTTTGGCCATGTCTTCTCCCTCGTGTAGACTTTTCTTCCCCTCCACGGACGTATCAAATAAATCCTTTCTCTCGACTTTATCTTAACACGTGTTTTGCTTGATTGGTGGATACTATTCCTTACCAAAAGCTTCTTGGAAAAGTAAACTGATGAACTTGATAGAAGAAGAATATGCATGCATTTTCCAAGAATCTGTGGAATTTTAGTTTTCCTTGTTCTTCTATACAAACACACGTTGGTTAAGGTTGATAGGTCATTACTCCAAGACGAACTTCAGAAATGGACAGCAGATCCTCTGCTCCTCTGTTGTTGTTGATTTCACTTATTAGCTTTGCTTCTCTTCTGATCAAATGTCACTCTTCTTCCTCAGATGAACTCAAGGTCAAGCAAGTTTTTGTCGCTTTGTCTTGGCTTTTGAATTCAAATGATTCAGTTTCTGGTTATTAATTATGTCTTCCGATAATGCAGACTTACATTGTCTACACTGGGAACAGCAAGAGTGATGAAGATTCTGCCTTGTCACAGTACACAAGATTGCTGCAAAGGGCCTCTGAGAGGTAATATTACTCAACTTAAAAAACTAGAAATTTCTAGGTCTAACATATGATTCTATCTTACAAGCTGAAACTTCTAAAATGAACATACAAGGATAATTTATATATCCGACAGTAAATTACTTTCATCGAAGTTTCCTGATAAGATTAAGAAGAAAGATTGCGTGTTAAAATGAGTAAGATATTACTGTTTGAGAGAAAGAGGTTATGTAGGAAGTTCAGTGTACTCTGTAATCTTATAGATTGAAAA